TCTTGTTTGGATTCTTTGAGCGAAAGTTGATTAAGATTATTTTGTATCCTGCTACTAATGACACTGATTTCCGCGTGTACGTTAGTGACCATTTTTCTGCATTTTAAGTGCATTAGTGTGTCGTTCGCACAAACAAACGGCATCCATCGTTTATAGCCCATATAGAAAAATGACAAAATTATCACTATATTATAATATAATAAATGAGATAAATGTGGGACAGATATGATCTAAAAATGAGCCATATATGGTCCATAAATGAGTCATTTATGGCTCATTTTTCACGGCCTGGGTTACGGTTACGGTTACGGTTAACCGTAACCGGTGCATGCCTACAGCCTACTTCACCGGAGTTCGTAATGAAAAATTAAGACGAAAACTAAGTTTTCGGACATGGTCTATCTGTAATATATCTAATTCTGAATGAGATAAATACCAAGTAGAGAAGAACGAATAATTTATAATGATTTACCCAACAGAATTGTTTTTTTGACGGTAGTCACTAAGATCATTTCCTACACTTTGTTTCCCAAAACCTTGGTGTGATGTTTTTGACGCTTGATATCTCTTTCGGGATTTCATGAAATTCCTTTTTATTAGATTCTTCTGAAATCGCATATTTTGGATGTTACTTTATGTTAGTTACTAATATTATGCATAAAATTTAAAATAGAGTTTTCCCTCGAAAAAAATAATTTTCTTGTCGCGGCCGCTATTATACATGATCTAGTTTTTCACCGATAACAAATGCAAAATAAGCGTTCTGAGTACGCTGAAAACAGTTAAAAATTTGCAGCTAAAACTTTCGACTTCCTATCAATTCAAAGTCATTCGTGTGAAAGAAAACGGTGTCAAAGGTTCTCAAAATATTATGGAAGTTTTTATTTCACAGATTAAATTACACAATCATCATTAGCGTTTTAATATACAATGACTAATTTGAAACGAACCAGCTTTTACAACTGGAATTTTACGTCCATGTAACCAAATATTCCAATTGTCTCTGACATAATCTAAACCTAAAATTATGATATGGCTAGTTCGGTGCTTGTACTTATACTACTACGCGAAGTCAGAGGTTCATAGTGAAGAATCGTCCAGATAGCACAATAGCAAATGCATAGGTTCCATCATTTCCTTACTTTTCAAAACTTTGATACAAGAATTTTCGATAAAGAAAATTAAATCTGAAATTGAAAAACACAAGCCGACGTATTTCGTAGGAAAATGTTTGCTGTACATGCATAATGGTGCAAAAGAATTTTGTATATCCAGATCTTTGAGCCTTGTATCAAAATTTTGAAAAGTAAGAAAATGATGAAATCTATGCCTGTTTTCAATATTTGATCTAAAAGTACATCATGCTAGTGTTCCAAAATGCTCTATTATATATGAATCGATCTAGAACTGCGTACTCTACCAAATGACGTAACACTTATTTTCGGACCCCCATCTGCACGCCCTATATTTAAAAGTAGCGGAAAAAAGCAATCTTAAATATATGTAATATTTTAGTGTACTATTATTTGGTCGTAGATAGTTAAGGATATTATTATCTCTAAAGTGGCGCACAAAATTTTAAGGCACCTTTTGTTGCACCTTTTTGTGAAATCCTACAGAAATACAATTTCTTTCACAAGAAGTGACCACCTTTCGCTTTTAAACACTTTCGTATTCGTTCTGGCATTGATTCGACCAACTTGATGCATAAATCGATATCAATGTTGTCCCATTCCTCCTGAAGACAATTGATCAAGGCTCCTTTGAAATAAATCGGTTTTGAAGCCAGTTTTTTGTCCAAAATGGACCACAGTATCGCTGTCGGTTTGAGGTCTAGACATTTAGGGGACCAGCCGAATACTTTCAATTTCAATTTGGCAGTTTTATCTTTCACTGTATTTGATGTATGCCATGGAGCCAGGTCTTGTTGGAAGATTATTTCGGTTTTCTTCGGTATTTTTGTCATGGATTGCTTTAGTTCTTTCTGCAAAACATCGCAATATAATTGACCATTCATATTTTGCGTGTAAATCTTAGCAGCGATTGTGCCGAAACCCGAGATGCCGCCCCAAATGCCACCCTTCCCCCCATTACCGGTATCGGTTTGTTTTAAACATTCCAGAAGAAGTTTCTCTTTTTCCAGACGCCACATTTTGCATTGATATTTTCTTTTAAATACATAAAACGTTGATCCGTCTGAAAAAATCACCTTCCGCCAGTCATCATGTGTCCAGCTCAAATGTTGTGTACACCAGGAAACACGCTGTTGCCGATGTCGGATACTTAACCACTGTTTTTTGATTTTCACTACGTACTCAAAGCCAAGATCTTTCAGATATCGGCGTACTGTTCGTATTGTAACCGGTTTTGGTAAGCTGCTGTTCAAGTCCGATGCTATTTTCGTCGCAGCGCTGAGGCGGGAATCTCCTTTGACCAATTTTTTTTATACTTTTTGATCGCATTTTGAACACAACATCTTGAGATCTTTAGTTGTTTTGAAATTTGAACCTGGTTGAGACCGGCACCATGTAAGGCCACCACCTGAGCCCGGATAACTGGATCAATAGCCTTTTTTCCCATAAGAGGTTTTGATAATAATAAGATAAGCAAAATATATCTAAAGAATTGCAACAATATTATCTTTCATATTTTTTTCGAAAATAAAGCAAAGATATCGGAAAGTGCCTTAAAATTTTGTCCGCTGGGCAAAAACGAAAACAGCTGAGCTTAAGTTTTCTTATCACTTCAGGTTTGTAGCGCACTCTGAGAGCTATCCAAATCACTATTCGGATGTCAATAATGAGTGATCTTTCACGCAGAAAAATGAAAAACAAAAGGTGCCTTAAAATTTTGTGCGCCACTTTAAATACCTGATCTCATAGAGTACCTATTCCACTTTCAAACGCACCATAAATGAATCATACACGTTTGTTAACTTTTGAGGAAATCGAAAAATACGAAAATTTGCGAAAATTCACGTTTTTGGTAACAAGAGTGACGCTCGAGTGAGTGTTTGGCCTCCAGTTTTTTCAAAAGGCACTTCCAGATAATTATTGTAGGGTGTGTTCTAATTTTGGATACTCTTCGAATGAGACATAAATGAAAATAAAATAAAATATTTCTAACTTCCTCTTAATTCGCACTACTTGGGTGAAAACGGGTACCACTACTTAACTAAGTCTTTGAAAAATATTGGTTTTAATCCTTCGACGGGTTTTCCCATAAAATATATTGTCCATGTGTCTTTTGCATAACCATTTTCTAATATCTCAAACGATGAAGCTTTTGCATCTGGAATTTTACTTCCATAGAACCAGACATTCCAATTGTCTATGACATAACCTGAACCTAAACTTATCAAACATGGCTAGTTGGATGCTTGTACGTATACTACTACAGAAATATTGCAGACAATATGTAAACTGGAATTTTGATTGATTCAGGTTTCTTTTTAATTAACCGGTGAATACATTTCGAAATGAATAGTAGTATAATAAACACCGAATGCATAACTATGTATTACGAGACGTTTCGTACAATATCTTAGTACATCCTCAGTC